CCGGCCCTGGCCCACATGCCCCTGCTTCCTGTAGGGTCAGAGCAGTCTGGATGTCAACGTGGGCAGAGCTTGAGGGCCCTCCAGGTGCTGCTGGTGCCAGGGGTCTGGGCCAGGCGGGCGAGGGGAGGGGGTTGGGAGGACGTCTGGGCCGCTGGCAGTACCTGGGGGAGAGAGCAGTGCGGCAGGCAGGCCGGCTTTGGGTGAGGTCCCGCCTGGCTGGCTGTGCCAGCAAGTCTGCCCGCACTCCGGTCCTCCCACAATGGCCCCATTGTTCCCAGCCGCCAGGCAGTTTGGAGGAGGTTCCTAGGCCACCCCTACCCCCCCCCCAACAGGGGCCAGATTAACCCCTTGGAGGACAGGCCAGGTGAGGGCCCTCAGGGAGCTACCCTGCCCATTCCTCCCTTCTGGGAAGGCTTTGGGAGGTCACCTCCCACCCACGTGTACCCAGCAACAGGACAACTCCAGAGACCAGGGTCTCCCACTGGGTAGGGAGTAGCACCTAGACCCTCTCCCACCCCCACCGTGGTGCAGGTGCCAGGGGGCAGGAAGTGCCAGTGGGGTGGCAGGCGGAGACCAGATATATTTGGGCCGGTGGGGCTAATTCCAGACACCACCGCCTGCCCTACTGGCTCCTGAGCTCCTTTCCTTCCTGTGAAACCAGAGCTGGGTTGGGCCTAGCTCAGGATTTCGGTGGATTTAAAGAGGCAGCACCGTCCCTTGCCAGCCTGGCTTCCTCTCCCCCTCCCCAGGTAGGGTCTGGGGCAGAGAGAAGGCTGAAGAACTGCTTGCTCCCGCCTTGCCCCCGGCTAACCCCAGGCCCTTGCCCCAGTCGGGGTACCAGCCTCTTGGCAACTCCTCTCTCCCAGAGCTTTGGGCGGGTGGGGTGGGCGGGGGTGGGCTGTGGTTTCCTGTGTTGGCTGTTTGTGCCTGGCCCAGAGTGCCCGCCGCCTGCCTGGGCTTCCTGCCCTGTCTTGTTTCCTTGTGCCCCCCACCCTCCCTTCCCCCTCCCCCCCGAGGGAGGGAGCAGCCAGGGATTGGGCAGCAGCCTTTGGGGGCACCCCACTGCCAGGGCATGACTGTGTCCCAAGGCCTGGCCACATTGGCACTGGCTGAAGGAGCCAAGTGAGGTGACTTCAAGCTTGTCTAGGCAATGCCACTTGTTCTGCGGCCTCCAGAAGGGACAGTGGGCACCAGAATGGGCAGCATCCCCCCCCCCCCAGAAGCACCCTGTTCAGAGCCCCCAGACTACAGTAGTCTGGGGCCAGAAGTTGCCATGTCCCTGGAGAATTGAGGTTGCCTGGCGTCACCCTGGGGCTGCAGGTGGGCTGAGGTGGTTTGTCAACCAGACAAAAATTGTTGATTTGCATGGTCTCCTTTGGCAGGAGGTGGGGGGAAAGGGGGAGAGCTGCTAGGAACTAGGGCAAGGGGAAGGCCTCTGAGTCTACGAGTCCCCATAGAGGGTCCCAGAGCAATACCTTGGTCCTTGAGCAGATTTCCTGCTGGGGTATGAATCCTTGACCTCCCCTGTTGGCTGAGTCACCACCTCAGGAAGAGGAAGTGACCTGGGTGGTAGGGGAGAGCTTCTAGGGACCAAGGTATCCTGACACCCAGGAGGAAGGGGCACCCGGACCCTGTTGTCTTGGGAGCTGCGTCTCCCTGAGCCAGGGGACAATAATCCTACCCCTATTGCTCTAGCAGGGCCGTGACCTTTCGGCCATCACAGAGGGCCCAGGCAGCCCATTTCCTCTCTAGAGGTGTCTGCCCACTGTATGGGGGGAGCATGGAGCCTCCAAGCCATTTTCTCACTGCGTCTCTTGGATGGTTTTGAGCTAGGCAATGAGACCGGTGGGCTGGCTGGTGAACCAAGCAGGGGCTTCCAGTGTGGGGGCAGCTGGAAATAAGCAGGTTGCCAACCGGTGTGTGAATGCCTGTTGTTACCTGTGGCGGTTCTGTGTTGAGCATCCGTGGAAGCCTCCTGGTCTTCTCCCCCAGCTGGGGTCGGGTCCGCTGGCTCCCCCCCCCCCCCCCC